ACATACATACATACATACATACATACATACATACATACATACATACATACATACATACATACCAATACATACATACATAAATAAAAAGGGGTATTCATGTTACATTTTTTTAAGGAATTAGATTTTCCTCAGACTGTAATTTTAAATAAACATTTGATGAATGTTTTCTTCACCACAGATTGCTGCCATGGTGGTTTCACTGATTCTCTACACAAAAGCTGGAAAAAAGGACTGATGCTTCCTGACTGGAGAYCCTCTGTAATAAAACCTCCCAACTGATGGAAACGTTTCAGCAGGAGTTTTGTTCTGTTAAAAAGTTTGATTTGATTTAAACAGTTTAATGARCATTTGATGCTCTACATGACTTGAACAGTGAAAAATTTAAAGGAGTTATCAGAAGATGTAAAAAATATTTGTGTCGACCTCGGTTTATGTTTATACTGTGATTTATTTAAGTCTGTTTCGTTCTGTCAGCTGATGCTTTATGTGCTGATGCATGTTATAATATGTCATGAGGCACAGTGTGGAGAAATCTGACAAACAGAATAAATGTATTTTGTATGTGCTCAGTTATTTTTTTATTAAATAAAAGACACTGTTGACTTGATTTATGGATTTACACAGTTCTTGTGTGTTTTTGCTTTTAAACACTTTTGCCTAAAATGATGTTAAAACATTTATGATGTATAACATAATATTAGAGGACAAATATATTAACRGGCAATATTTATGAGTTGGTTAGAAATGACGTTTCCAGTGTTATTGCCAGAATAAAAGACCAGTCTTCTTTGTTTTGCATATAAAAGCCCAACAGGGGGAAAAAAAATCGAAAAACCTGAAGATAAAATCTCATTACCTCACCCATATAATAGTTTTGTAGTATTGTTTAACTTCTGGATTATTTCCAGGTAGGAGTCTGTGTACTTTTGAAAAATTCCAGCTGAATGGCAAACATTTATAGTTCATTTATGGTTTTATTGGCATCATTTGCCTTTTCTTCTAGAAAATAAATCACTTGAACTTGATTAAGGTTTCTAAAATACAGTATATAAATGAGCCACACCTTTAACACAGAACAACACTACTTTTTTAACAGGCACAGTAAATACACCAGTTAGCACTGATGTTTGTTCMGCAGCAGTGTAGGCTGCAGGACTATGGTTGCCTAAAATCATTTTAAAAGAAAGTGAATTTAGAGCCTGCAGCTTTCTGTTGCGGCATGACTTCAGYATGTTTCATGTCTATTTGATTTTTAAATACATTTTGAAAAACAAAACAAACACACTGTAAATTTACTAACTTACAAACCCCTCTGCAGTTTATAAAACACCCTGATGACATCAACATCCTGAGTCTYATCACCAAAGAGGATGAGCTCATTYAGAGGAACTGGGTTTCAGAGATGAYGGTGTACAGAAAATAAGTTTAACATCAACAAAATGACCCAGATAATCATTGACTTATGAAAAAGTTCTTCCTCCACGCCTTCCTCTCATCATTAACAACACTGCTGYGAAGAAAGTGGACTGTTGTGTTCCTGCATCTCCATCATTAAAGCCATGAAACAAGCAGACCACTGAAAGCTGTAAATAAAGCTAAACATTTCCACTGCAGTGTCACAAAATCACTTCATGGTCAATGGTGCTTTTTGTGCACAAATAAAGCTGTTGTCTTATGTAGTCTCTTATCATCACACTCTCACTTCTGTGCTTCACTCTTAGTTTCCATTAACAGTGTATTTAGCAGCTGACGCAGCTTGAGTCTGAGGTACCACATCCAGCTGACTCACTGTCTAATGTGGCAAGTTTTTTTTTGGTAAATGCTCATTTTAGCTTTTACTTTTAGTTAGAGTTTAATAGAACGTAACTGATTAACAAAGTTACTGTGCTATAAAACACCTAATGTGCTGGAAGTCATCTAAGAAAAACACCAGGGATCATTCAAGTTCRTTCTCTCAGGTTGGAGATTCTCTAAAATCTTAGGTTTCAAATRGTAAAAAGCAGAAATTCTCACTCTTTTTTTTTYTTTCAATTTAACCCCTGTCCACCCTCAGTGTACAGCTGTACATGTGGCAGCTAATTAGCGCAGTTAGCGCTGCTTCGGAGGCCGAACCTTCATATGAAACATTACGAGTGAACAGCTGCTTAACTGTGTGTTTAATGAATAYGTTGTTCCCTATCAGTATGGTGTAGCCATATGGTCCGAACTGCTTTAAATCWCTTCCTGTCGTGTAAGGTTAATTAGTTTTGATGTGTTATTGTTTACATTGTACATGGTTGATTACTTTGTACGGCGTGTGCTGGCATGTGAGGGTGTTTTAATGGGGTCTAGTTAATAATGTTARATGTGTGCCGTCTGCTGAAACAACAAGCGATGTCATTTCCTCTGATTGTCTTTGCAAAACCTGGACTGCTACAGCTAGCCGCCACTGCTGCCATGACTTGGGCTTGAAAATAACCACATAGTTCCACGTAAATAATAGAATATAATATTGTTGCTGCAAGGCTTAAACAAATGTTATAATTGAAATGCATAACTGACAGAGATGTAATTTTTAATGAATGTCAGTTTGAGGGCGGGGTTGTGTTGTTGTGTTAGACTCGTTGTTTTGGCCTGTGTGTGTTTAACTGCAATGTTTGCGAAATACTTTAAGAACCACTGGATGAATTTTGGTCAAACWCTATGGAGGTAAATTTGTGTTTTTATTATTCAATAAAAACACAAATTTACCTCCATAAAACTCTTCATGTAATAATTAGATGTACATCTAAAACTTCTTAGCTCAAAATGGCTACAGTCAACACAAAAATGGCTGCTAAAATTTGATGTGTTAGCAGCTGAAATCATTCACATCCACACAATCGTGCCTGAGATTTTACATGATTTTGCACATTATTTTTRAGGTTTGAACTAAATAACGGCTGAAGCGCTGTCATTTCTCCACATGAGGTGATCTCAGTCTGAAAGTTTTCAAAGAATGTTGAGTTTTTAATTCATTTTCTTTCACTTTAGAAACCTTTTGATTTGACCTGCCTGCCTATTTACCTGCCGTCTTGTGTCGGCTGCACCACACCTGACAATGAACAGGGTTTGATGTAACGGCTGTAATTTTTTTGAGACATTCACAACATCCTGAAAAGATTGTTTGAAAAGCCTCTTTCAGTCGGTTTCACTCTAATTTCAACTTCTGCTGCTTCAGTTTTACATTCTGAGTGAAAACTTGGGATTAGTGAAGTCTAGTAAAGATATTATAAGAGCCTTTCACTGTGGCTTCGAAGACACCAAAGTTATTTATTAACTCTTCATGGGTTCTACCCTCCACCCGACACTGACGTATGTTCCTACATTGTAAACTTTAGAAATACAGCATCATGACTAACAGACCTGTGTTCAGCACGTCAGGTGCTCCTGATGATAAAATAATAAAAAGAAACTCCTGATCTCAGATGCACAACATGGTGAAACACTGTTCTCTTTACTGGTGATTAAAGCTAAAGCATGTCGGGCTAAAATTGTTTTAGTTTGTGAACAGGTGGATCAGGATCAGCCTCAACTACAGAATCTAACACTTTTTTGGTCYCTTGTTTCTAATAATTAGGATTATTACTTCCCTGATCTGCTTGGTGCTCATAGGTCTCACCACAGTTCCTTTTATATGTTTTTATTGAGAAAATGTCAGAAGCAGGAAGTTGTTTAAAATAAGCTCAATTTACAGTATAGTAGATGGAGAGCAGTGTTTGGGACATTTTTTTTTAACCTGGTAATAAAACTGACTCAGCTACTTCTGAACTCAATCCAAGCAGAACGCCACTGTTTTCTGTTTTACCTTTTAAAACTGCAGCAGGTATTTTTTTATATTATCATTTTTTTATGATATTCAAATATTTAAAAAAAATCTTGTAAAATTCTAAAAAAATGTATTTGTTTACAAATGTATTATTTCATCCATCCATCCATTTTCTGTACACGCTTCTTCATTTCAGGGTCACGTGGGCGGGGTACACCCTGGACAGGTCGCAAGTCCAAAGTGTTTTATTTTAATGTGCAAAAAAATTGTTTTACCAAAAGGGAATTTTTTTATTAATTTATTTTCATTTATTTTTTAAAAATATAATCTGTCATCCTATGGGGTGGTTAGTGTCAGCAGTACAATAATGAGACTTAGTAAACTCTGCCCTCTTGTGGAAAATAAATATATATTCTYCAGCTGCAGGCAAACCTCAGATAAAACTTCTGACAGTGGTCATAGACAGTTTTTTTGTCTCTGATAATCTTAAAGTAAATTTACAAATTTAGCCAAATATTCTTCTTCTGTTAACTGTTTGATTTAATGAGGACATTGCATGTTTGAAGTTGAAGAAGCTGACACTAAATRGTTAAAGTTCAAAATAGCAACGCAGAAGAAATGTTTGAATGAGTCAAATCAGAGCCTAAAGTTAAAATTGGCAAAAAGCTTAAAGCTGAAAAAAAATTCTAAATAGTACAAAAATTTAAAAATAGAAAAATGAAGCTTTGATTAACAGAACATTAACTAAAAGTGAAGGCAGTTAATGGCAGCTAAAAGCTAGAATTAATCCAAAAGTTAAATTACAAAAGTAAAACAATTATTTGTATTTGTTTACACAAATATTTAAATGGTTTTAAAGGCCTGATGATTGAACAGTAAATGAAATGTGAGAACCAAAGAGTAGATGTACATTTTAGCTGCTTCTGTTGACATGAAGCCTTTTTTTAATTGATCTAAAATTTAAGCTGAAATGACTTTGTTACAAACTTCTGTTTCACCTGAGGTTTATTCATTTTAAACTCCAAGATCCAAACATTTAGACTTGAATTGTTGGCCGATACAAAACATCTGACTCACTTTATGAGGAAAATCATACTGACAAAACAAGTCCTTTACTCCCTTTTTTTAATCTTTCTGGACCATAACATTCAGACATCAGAGGGAGGGATGCTCGTCCCCCCCAGGCCTGTATATGAGAAAGTCAAACAGTCCTGCTTCAGATATGGTCACCTGCAGGCAGCCGGCGTGTGATCAGGTCACGGGTGAGGGAGCACAGTGAAGTGTAATGGTGTAATGATGGGACGTCAGGGGAGAGGCCTGGGAGCAGCTTGTGGGAATGAATGCACAGGACGCAGCTTGTTTACACAGAGAACATAAACTCATTACTGCTTTACAATCAACGCTAACACGATTACCTGCCAAACCCGGGGTCATTGTTGAACCGCAGCCTTCTGGAGGGTCTTTGGCTGCAAATGTTCCGCAAACCTTCTTTATTTTACTCCTTTAGTCAGGAGGTTAGGGGAAATGAACTGATTTAATTAGTTGTTGCTTTTTTTCTTCAACTCTTTCATGTGAATTTTAAATGCTAAATCATTTTATAATACTAATTTAATAAACTGTGATG